GGATCGGAGGGCGGCAGAGCACAGGCCCAGCTGCGGAGAGGGTGCTTCCAGCAGCTCTGCCCGCGCCTGCACAGGGCAGGGGTCTCCGCAGCACCAGGAAGTCACTTCTGCTCAGGGCTGAGACCCAGGACAGTGAGGGCGGAGTGTGTGGTCAGCTCCAGGAGTCCTCCTGGCCTGACGTCCTGCCATTGCCAGAACAGCCCTGAGAGCCTGGGAAGTGGACTGCCATCAAAATATCAGGGCTGACTGCTCTTCCCGTCCATGCCCAGTCAGTCACATCCCTGTCGGTGAGGCTGAGTGCGGAAAGTCCTGGGGTTTGCCTGGTGACCACTTCTCCTTGGCTTTGGGACTAACAGCAAATGGACTTAATTCTCCTTCCTAACCCCAGGCAGTGCAGGCGAGGCTGACCCATACTCCAGAGCCACAGTGGAGAGTGGATTGGGGGTCCCTGAATTTTTTTTTCCTCCAGTACAGGGACTCAAACTCAGGACCTTGCACTTGCCAGGCAGGCGCAGTACCACTGAGTTGCATCCCCCGCCCATGGGGGTCTCTGTATTTAAGTCATTTTATTTATTTATAGAGGCAGAGTCTTGCTATGTGCTTCAGGCTGACCTTGAACTCACGGCAATCGTCCTGCCTCAGCCTCCTGATTGCCCTACCACGCCTAGATTCCAAATTCTAACCCAGCCTGGGCAATTTAATGACTTAGCAAAACTTTGTCTCAAAAAGCGGATCAGTGGGGATCAGTGTGAAGGCCCTGGGATTAATTAATCCCCGTTATCACAATAAAGAAAATAAGGAAAAGGGTGGAGAGGGAGAGAAAGAGACACTAAGAAACCCTGTGTGTATGTGCAAATGGTGGAAAAACTGGAAAGCTATTCAGACAGGGCATTTCCCCTGAAACAGCCAAGACATATGGCCAGATATTTTTTCATAGGCTTGTGTGGGGAGCCCAGTTCCTCCCACCTCAAAGGTCCTTTTCTCCCCAATACTGTAGCCTTTGCACTGAGCTACACCCCAGCCCTTGTAAAAATTTGAGACGGTCTCACTAAGTCACTAAGTTGTCCAAGCTGAGCTCAAACATTCGACACTCTTGCCTCAGCCTCCCAGAGTGCTGGGCTCACAAGCATGTCCAAGTGCAAGCTCCACCCGCCAGTTCCTTAAGGACAAGCGAACAGTGTCACCCACAGGGTCACCTCCCGCTTCTGAACCCACCCATGAGAGATCCGGGAGCCCTAACAGAAATGTTTAACAGTCACTCAACCTGTACTACAACTTACCTAGTTTTTGCTTAAAAACGTTTATTAAAGAAAGACAGAGGACAGACCCATCTCTGCTTCTCCCAGAAACATAAGTGGAAGGAGGGAGACCAACTCTCCCAAACACCACCAGCAGCCTGGACTTCTAGTCCCAGGAATCAGTGGGACCAGAAGCCTGAGTCTCAGACACAAACCCAGAGAGCAGATGGGCCTGTGGGGACGGACACCTGGGGATGCTGACGCGGAATGGAAGTTGGGAGCAGTGACTTGGAAAGCCCACAAGTCTGAAGAGGCAGAGGCCGTGTGCGTGAGGCCCTAGCTGCCCTTGGGCTCCAGGATCTGCTGGATGTAGTTGACCACGTTGCTGTGCAGCTGGGAAGCAGTGGAGGCAAAGGTCTCCCTGGCGAGGGTCTGGGCCACCTCGCTGCCGCCCATCATGGCGTGGTACAGTGGCAGGGTGTACTTCTGCTTCCCCTGCAAGGAGAAATGGACCCGCGTCCTCAGCGGCTCGCTTGGGGGTCTCCCCGGCCCTTGGGCCCCCACTGGGGCGCGGAGCTCTAACAGTGGGCACGACCAGGTCTCAGAAAGGGACTTGGGGATCACAGCTTCCCAGAGAGGTTCTGATTCTGGCATCTCCTCAGAGGACAAAGATCCACAGAAACGGGGCCCGACAGGCATCCGAACCATGGTACCTTGGGGGCATCTGCACCCCACAGAACAGACGAGATGGGCTGACACGATGGGATGCCCACTCGGGGAGCTGCAGGAGGCTGGGCACCAAGGCATGGCAGGCGAAAAAGGCTGCAGCACATAAAGCCCAGGCCATGCAAGGTCCAACTGCGGCCAAGCTAAAGAAAACCCACAGGTCGAATTCACGTCGCCGAGCCGGCGGCATCACAGGCTCCCGAGCCCCAGAGGTTTGGAGAGCGGTCAGAGGGCTTGAACTCCGGGAGAAACGCAGCTCCCGCTTGATAAGGTGAGCTCCGAGCACTCCTCGTATCTCCACGCCACTCCCTGCTGAGGAATCTGCGGACATTCACTTACTCACCTGAACCAGTGCCCCTCACCCTGCCCAATGGGCCGGGGCCACTCCAGCCCCGGCTGTGCGGTCAGGTGGGCTGGGGTCTGAGCCCCACCTCAGCCCCAGAGCCTCCCCGGGGGGCAGGGACCCGTGTGCTCCACCCTGTGCTCATCCTGCCTCGCTCTGCCCGCGTGCACTTCCCCATGACCCGACCGCGTATCGGCCTTGCCCTTCTTCCCAGTTTTGAGTTAGCTCGGGCCAGCTTCTGTCCCTCCGGCCTCCCTAGCTGATGTGCAGAAGGCTCCCTGCACCTGCAGCCTGCGGCTTCCCCTTTTCCCCAGGACAATGCCTCCGGGAGCCGCACTAATACCAAGGTGAGCAGCAGGGCACTGCAGAGGCCGGACCCCTGCTCTGCAGCTCAGCCCCATGAGGCTATGACAGGCTCTGCCGGCAGGGTGACTTCGAGCGTAGCTCCTGGTCCAAAGCTCGGCTGACCGTCGTGACAGGAAGGGGCGTCGCCCACCTGGCTCTGCAGGAACGCCTTGACTTTCCAGAAGTCCTCCTGGTGGTCATTCTTAAGGACAATCTGGCCCCATCGCAGCTGGAGCTCTGCGTTCCGGGCGCTGGAGATGGCCGGGTATGTCTCCCCGAGTTTCTTCACGTTCCCTGGAGAGGAGGGCAGGACGGGCCAGCAATGACCATCAGTAGGAGGAGCCCGGAAGCTCCACTTTCAGCCCTTCCAAGAGCTCTGGGAAGATATCCAGGAGGTTCCAAACCAGCCACTCTACCACTCGTTCTGCTCATCTTATGCTCCAGAAAGGTGGTGTTTATTCTGGTGTCACAGTTACCAAACGTCTCTCGGTCTGACTGTACTTTCGCTCCCATCACTCTATTCTCCTTCCTGGATTAAACACGTATTCCCCTCAAATGTTCTTTTTTTGGTGCTACTGGGAATTTATCCCAGGGCCTCACCATGCCAGGCAAGTGCTTTGCCACTGAGCTACATCCTGTTTTACTTTTCTTTCTCGGTACTGGGATCGAACTCGGGACCTCGGGCTTGCTAGGCAGGTGGCGGAACCACTGAGCTAAACCCCTAGCCCCTGTTTTACTTTTTCTGAAACAGAGGCTCACCGAGCTTCCCAGGCCTTCAACTTTGCACCTCCCTGCCCCGGCTCCGCGTGGCTGGGATTACAGGTGTGTACTATCATCCCGCTTCCACTTTTTCCAACACTCACTTTTTTAAACCCACTTTTTCTCCTACCGCTGAACTTGCTAAGTGCATCAGAGCTTTAGCTGGGTTTCACCCCTGGGTGAATATTAGTTTTGACTGAGCAGCAACAAAGCATTGTTGTTAAGGCTTCGGATGACTGGGTTCAAATCCCAGCCCAACTATGACACTGGGTGACCTATTTGTGTCTCCAGTTCACTTTGTCACCTGGGGATTAAAGTCCCGGTCCCGCCCATGCAGAGTAGTCAGGGGAGCAAGTGTCCTAAAGGCGCACAGAGCTTACGAGCGGCCTACAGAGCGGGAGCACTGAGGAAGTCGAGGTTTGCTATTTTGTCCCCTGTGGCCCTCGTACATCTAAGTCCTTCTGATGACACATTCTGTGCAAAGCCAGCCTGGCATCGCCTCCAGGCGCGATCACAGCTTTTCTGGAGCCTTCCCCTGTCTCCTGACATAAAGCTCCGCACACAAGAAGCTTCGCTCAGCTTACCAGAGGGGAGCGGGGACTTCCGGAGGATCTCATCCAGGAAGTAGATGAGCTGGTAGGTCTTCCAGGCAGAGATGGACACAGCTTCGATGGCCTGCACGTCCAGCTCCTCCGTCACCCACAGCCGGGCCAGCTCTTCAGCCGGCTTCATGAGTGAGTCCCCAGGGGAGAGATCGGGGAGGTAGGGGGGCCAGCCGGGGGTATTCAGCCAGCGATCAAACTCCAATCCTGCAGGGAGGACAAGATGCTGTCAGCGTTCTCTGGCTGGATCGCGGTCATCTTGCCCAGGAAACTCCAACCCCTTCCCCTGTCCATCTCACACTTTCTTCTGTACTCAATGTCACCTGCCCACAGGGTCCTGCCAGGTGACACGTGGGGCGTCACCGGAAGACTGGGCTGGGTTCATTTCCTCTGCGAAAGTCTTTTTGCCTGTATGCAAGCATTAGGTCACCAGAGCCACACTGAGAGCGGCTTTCCCGGCTGCAATCACGTTCAGTCTCCCCTCGACACCACCACAGCACTGTGCTTAACTAAGCACCAGCACCTCAAGCAAGGTCGCCAGGGTCCCGTCCCAGCTCTGCCATTTATCACTGGGGGGCCAGGGGAACCTCTGTTTACCTGTAAAACGGGGTGACAGGCCCTACCTTAATTGACGGTGAAGATTAAATGAGCAAATACACATTCAGAGTTTAGTGTTCCGCTTGATGCATAGTAAGCACTCAATAATTATTAACTATCATTAGCTACAGAGTGTCATGACCTTGAAACTCGGCCCTCCCACTGGGGCCTGGCCAATCCGTGTCAGGAGGCCAAGTGACTCAGGGTGCAGGCAGGTGCGGGGCGCGCCTCCCCACCACAGACCACTCCCTCCTCCCCAGAGGAGGCAGGACCTCTGGGCTGAGCCCAGGGCCGGGGAGGCCACGCCGAGACATTCCAGCAGGGGCTGCTGCCCATCACCATCCTGCAAGTTTTAGCTGGGTGAAGACGAGGCTCTGGCTGTGTGTCCAGGTGGGCAAACGAAGACAGTGAGGAAGAGGAAATGAGAGGAAACGGGGCAGAGCGGGCTAGAGAAATGGAATGGTAATTACCATCAACACTCCTGGGGGCCGGGGATTTAGCTCGGCGGTTTGGTGCCCCCGGTACCAAATACAAAAACCAAAACCAAAACCAAAAACCAAACCACTCCTGGATCCGGCAGGCCTGGATTCCGGGAGGGGCCTGCTCCCCACAGAGCCATTTACCAGAGAACTGAATCCACATCCTCCAACCTGCCTGGGTGTAGCCACATCCAACCCTCCACCGTTTCCTAGAAGCCTGTGGACCACTCCTCGCTTACCTGGAATGGAGTCCACTTTCCTTTCCTTCAGCTCAGGGAAATAGTCCAGGTAGAATTCCAGAAAGTCGTCGGCTAAGATGCTCTGGAATTTAAACTCATCCACGTAGGCCTGTGGGAAGCGAGTTTTCAGCCTCTCTGGGGGTCCCTGGGCACAGGCCCCCTCCATTTCCCAGGCCCTCTCCAACCCCTCACCTCTTGCACCCCATGCCTCTACCCGGGCACTCCGGCCCAGCTGCTTTATCTGCTCCTCATCCTTCTGCCCCCTTCGAGAGGTGACCATACCTTGAGAAAATTGTCAAACTGGTCTTGATCACCCACCAAGTGGGCCAGATATGAGACAAAGCAGAAGCCTTTCTCATAGGGGGTTTCGTTATATGTATCATCCGGATCCACACCTGGCAGAAGAGAAAGTGGACAGGACAACAGGACGAGCCTTTACTTGTTTTGTTTGAGACAGGGTCTCACTATGTAGTTGAGACTGACCTGGCACCCATTATGTAGCCCAGGCTGGCCTCAAATTCCCAGTGATCCTCCTGCCTCAGCCTCCCCAGGGCTGGGATGACAGGCGTGCGCCACCACGCCCGGCTGAGCCTTTATTTGTGACTGAACCATCTGTTATTCTTTCTCAGGCTCTGGATTCAAACATTACCTCTGGCAGAGGCCAGACTCCGGCTTCCCCAGGGATAGCAAGGCCTGGGTTTCTAGATCCATCCTGTCCTCTCCTAAAGCAGCTCTAAGGAAATCACTGTGGACCCCAAGAGGACAACGCCTCGGAGGGGAACTGACTCCTTCCTTATTCCCAGGGTAGGCTCTGCTCCGCTATGGCCCATCAAGCCTTTCATGTGGTACCAAATGGACCAGGCAAGTGCTCTAACACTAAGCCACACCCTCAGCCCCATTTTATTTTATTTGGAGACAGGGTCTTGCTAAATTGCCCAGGCTGGGCTTGAATTTATAATCCTCTGGTGTCAGCCTCTTAAAAGGACGGGATTATGGGTGTGTGTCACCACACCTGTCTCTGTTAGCTTGGGAAGGAGCTCTGGGCTCAGTCTCTTTCAGTCCTGTTGGTCAGTGCCTACCTACTCAACCTCCCCTTCCAGAACATGTTATTTTCACAAGCGTTCCAGATGAGAACTAATTACCAGGGGACAAGAAGTTCACTATTATAGCCAGTGGCACCAGGGACATGAACTTTCCCCATACAAAAAGGTTACAGATTAGTCATACATGGAATTAACAACAAAAAAAGTTTTTTTTCTTTTTCCCTTTTTTTTTTTGAGACAGGATCTTGCTGTGTAGCTCAGGCTGGCCTTGAACTCACAGAGATCCTCCTGCCTCAGCCTCCAAAGTGCTGGGATTATAAGCATGAGCCACAATGCCTGGCAACAAAAAAAAAGTTAGAAAAATGAAAAGCTCTATATTTGGAACTGACTAGGTACACGACCTGGGACAAGTCCCTTAAGTCATCTAGCGCTCAGTCCAGCATCCGTAAAATCAGGCTGACACTCGACAGAACCCACAGGTCTGACTTGATGATGAAAAAGGAGTGGGAAAGTACCTTGTAAAGTGATACCGACTTACACAAACGCAAGGCTTTGGTTACGAAGTGTGTAGGACAAACCAGAACTCCCGTCTGGCAGACATGCCTGGGTTCATCCTGGAGACAGGCCTGGTACAGCTAGAAAGGGCTCTGGCAGGTTCCTCCCAGGTCAGGCTAACCTGGGGCTCCAGGGATAATTTTAGAGGAGGCGGAAGGCAGACGCGCTGACCTGGCTCGATCTTCACCCGGAGCTTGTTGAGTGGGTGGTCCTCTCCGGTGATGTCCATGTGCTGCCGCAGCAGGGCCCTCCCGGTAGCAGCCTCCAAACAGGTATAAGCCACTCCTGGGCCAAAACACACAGGACTGCCAAGTCAGCTACCTGTAAGTGTACTTTCCTCCTGGAAGATGCTGTGCTGCCCCCTCGTGGCCTGAAGCTGCACAGGGCCGGGCCTCAGACCCCAGCTCCCTGCGGCTCTGGGCCACAAAGGACTTGGTTTACAGCCACAAAGGACTTGGTTTACAGCGGCTGCTTGTCCCGCCACCATGGGGGACTGCTCACCTTTATTAATGTATTTTTACTTTTAGATAAATTTGATCTTTTTTGGTACCGGGGATCAAACTCGGGTCCTTGTGCTTGCCAGGCAGGCGGTGGAACCACTGAGCTAAATCCCCGACCCTAAATTTGATCTTCTATGAAATCTTAACTAGTTTTTATTTGACTGTTCCCATCAAACAAGAGAACCGTCACTTTCAGAATTTTTAAAGGGCCTTGAAATGAAGTAACAAGAAGACGGTGTGTGAAGCAGTCAGCTCTGACTCTGGCCCTTTTCAGCCAGTTTCTTCACCTGCACAGTGGGAGAAGCATCTGCTTCGGCATTTAGGGGCTGCTTAAGACAGTCACAGCGGGCTAAAGCTCGGCGTACTCTGAGCGGGAGGCTACATGTGTACAAACTGGCCGTAAGAGACCCGAAATACCAAAGCCTTTAAAACGCTGCGACCCAGAAATGATGTTTCTAAGAATTTATCCTTACTGAAATCATCTGAGATTCACAAAATGTGTATGTACAGAGGTTTGTCAAATTATTTCAATGGAAAATCAGGAACAACCTACCTATCTAACAACCGGAGATACTGGGGATGGATTAAAGATATCACGAAGGGTACCATGTACCGGTAGAAGACTAGGGGCACCGCTGGGGATCGCACCCAGGCCTTGGGCATGCTCAGCATGTGCTCCACCACCCAGCTGCAGGCCCAACCCCTGGAAGAAAGTTAATGACTTAAGAGTACTCTCATAAGGGCCGGGATTTAACTCAGTGGTTCCGCAGCCTGCTTTGCAAGTGTAAGGTCCAGAGTTCGATCCCCGGTACCAAAAAAAGAAAACCTCTTCTTAAACTTTCCGTTGACTGAATGGGTAAAGCAAGCACGGCATATATACAAAGGATCCTTCTCGGCCACAACAGATACATTTGAGTCACCTGTAGGAAAACCACACACCTCGACACTACACGTCTCAGAGAAGTAAAGCAGAGCCAGGAGCTTAAATATTGCGTGGTTTCTTACATGAGAAACACAAAGTATAAATAAAGAGTAAAATGAAAGGTAAGAAACAGGGAGACAGACTTAACAAATGGGGAGGGATCTAGACACGGACAGGAGGGGAGGAGGGAGAAGGGAAGAAGCAGCCGCCCACAATGGACACACTCCTTCAGCATCACCAACCGGACTGACACAAGAAAAGAAACTCTAAGTCGTACAGATCTTCATCAGGTCAAACAATAACATCTGATACACAGTGGATTCTCCTTAATGAGACAGTAAAGTTTTTTGGTACCAGGGATCAAACTTGGGTCCTTGTGTTTGCAAGGCAGGCAGCAGCACCACTGAGCTAAATCCCCAGCCCCCCCCCTTTTTTTTTGGTACCGGGGATTGAACTCAGGTCCTTGCACTTGCAAGGCAGGCCACCGACCCTTTTGTTTTTTTGAGACAGGGTCTTGCTATGTAGCCCAGGCTGGCCTTGGATTCACAGCGATCCTCCTGTCTCAGTCTCTTGAGCACTGGGATTACAGGTGTGAGCCGCCATGCCTGGCTTTGTGGTTTTGTGAGATGGGGTCTTACTACAAAGCTTAGGCTGGTCTTGAACTGTGTAGCCAGGCTGGCCTCAAACTTAAGTGAGCATTCTGCTACCTCAGCCTCCTGAGCGCTGGCATTATAGGCACATGCCACCACGCCAGGCTGTAAAGGTTTTTTGGGTTTTTTTTTTTTTGGTACCAGGGATCAAACTCAGGACCTTGCACTTGCGAAGCAGGTACAGCACCAATGAGCTAAATCCCCAGCTGCAAAGTTTTTTTAGAAGCATTCCTGGAGCTAGATGTGAGGCTTATGATTCTAGCTACTTGGGAAGCTGAGGCAGGAAGATCGCCAAGTTTAAGACCAGCCAGGCAATCTGGCCAGATCCTCTGTCAGATTAAATTTTAGTTTTATTTATTTTTCTAGATAGGGTGTTGCTGTGTAGTTCAGGCTGGCCTTGAACTCCTGGTGATTCTCTTGCCTCAGCCTCCTGAGGTAAGTGCTGAGAGACGTGCGCTACCACACCTGGCTCAAATTAAATTTCAAACAAAGAGCTGGGGAAACAGCTCAGCTGTGAGTGCTTGCTTGCACACATGAGGTCCTAGGTCCATCCCCAGAAGTATGAACGAATGACTGATTAAGCGAACGAATGAAATTTAAAAGCACACTTAGGCTCAATCTGAGGCGCTGCCCTCTTCTGCTAAGTGACTTGGGCACACGAAACACTTCCCTATACTCCTGGCGGAGCACACTCACAAAGAAGTGGAATGAAGTAGTTGTTTCACGGAGCCACGTCAAAGGTGTTAAATGATACACTTGTGTAAGGTGCCCGGGACAAAGCGGGCACAGAGGCGGAAGGTAACGATGAAGATGATCGTACGACTCATTCGTAAGTTAACCTGCCGGTGGGACACGGCGGCGCACGCCTGTGACCCCAGGGGGAGGCTGAAGCAGCAAGACTGCCGCGAGCACACGGCCAGCCGAAGTCACACAGTGAGACCCGGTCTCAGGTAAACCAAGTGAATGGATGGATGGACGGACGAACCGGCCACGTGGGTGAACAACCCAGGGCTTGTCTGGCTCAGGGAGGAGCAAGCGTGGTGAGGCTGCAGCTCACGCACTTGCACAGAGTGAAGATCCAGCCGACACCAACTCTGGCTCCTGCGATTCTGCTGGCAGGCAACAGAGTGGGAATCACTTCCCGAGAGCAAGGCTGGCCTGGTGAGCTCTCTGCACCGTGGCTGGGGAGGGAGCAGCCTCACCGTAGAGGATGGTGGAGATCCTCCTCTGCGCGTACATGGTGAAGCCCTCGTTGAGCCAGGACTCGCCCCAGCTGGCATTGGTGACCAGGTTCCCGAACCAACTGTGTGAGATCTCGTGGATGATGACGTCAGCCAAGGACCGGTCCCCCGTGAGCAGGCAGGGGGTGACAAAGGTCAGGCAAGGGTTCTCCATTCCCCCAAACGGAAAGGACGGCGGCATAAAGAGTACGTCGTACCTGCAGAGAAGTCGGGGCCGTGGGGCGGCCTGGCTCCTGCGGCAGAGATCTCCCTCCTGCCCAGGTGGAACCTGACCCGCCCAGGAGGCAGTGACCTCGGGCCAGCGCCGAGGCCTCCTCCAGGCGCTGCCCTGCTCTGTGTCTTCCCTCTGGGGCAGCTGGAGTCCCCACCGCTCTTTCTCCTCCCAAGCAGGGCGACAGTCATCCCCTTCACTCACCCCCAAGTCTGAAGATGTCAAAGGACAAAACAAGACAGGGAAACATCCGGCTGGGAGGAGAGGCCCTGAGTGTTCCCACAGCTCTAAATCGAACTTGGCAACTCAATGGTATCACGCAAGGAGCCTCTCTCTCAGGATCCCCTCCCCAGAGAGCAGGCGCCGCCTGGCTCGTCCTGCCTCTTCTCTTCCTGCTCTCCTTTGTTTCCCGGCTCAGGGAAACCTTGCCGTAGGAGACAGGAGGGCAGAAGCGGCAATAGCAGGGTCTTGATTGAACAAAACACTTCGGTTAATGTGACACAATACCTTCCCCAAACATAAGGTCCGAAAAGCTTTTCTCCTGTTGTCAAGAATTCTTCTATCACCCCGCTGTACTCCTCCTTGGCAGCCTCAATCAGGCAGGGCTCTGCCCACACCCGGCTCCTAAGGGCAAAGGCACAGAGAAGGCAGACCGATAGGTGGACACTGCCACGGGGACCCGAGCCACAAAGCACCTACAGAAAACGGGCCTCGGACCTGTACTGGAGCCAGATGATTGTGACAGTGAGGTCAGCCAGAGATGGGAGACACCAGATCAGATCACCTACACAGGTCCCAGGGACCACTCCCTACTCTGGGGAAATAAGAACCCAAGAGTCTCATGGGGGAAATAAGAACCCAAGCAGGATCTAAACCCAGTGTGTTCAGGCTTCACCTGCTGCCCTAAGTGCCAGCCTTGGGAAGTGACCTCCGCTCTGCCAGTCTGGTTTGTTTTTGTCTTTGTTTTTGTATGTGTATGGTACCGAGGATTGAAGCCAGGGCTTCAGGCAAGTCAGGCCACTCTGCCACTGAGCTACAGCCCCAGATCTCCCAGCCTATTTCTTCGTCTGTCACACGATGGTGGAGGCTCCATGACAGCATCCAAAGGCCTTATACAGTAACACACATTAAATGCTAGTCTCCTTCCTACTTATAGGACAGAAAAAGACCTCTGAGGACAGAACTGCTGGGACTGAAAGGAACCTTAAGAGACACGCCTAATAATTAACATTAAAGGCAAATTGCTAATCGTCTTTGGTGCAACAATGATGGGGGGGGGATGCTTCATTCATCAGTCATTGAGTTCGATCCCTGGTAACAAACAAAACAAAACAAAAAACAGACAAAAACATCAGAGTCATTGGTACCGAACTCAGGACCCTTGCCATTTGAGAGGCAGGTGGTGGAACCACTGAGCTAAATCCCTGGCCCATTCCTACTTACTTTTAAATGACATAAAACAAACAAAAACAAAGTCCCATGTCAATAAAACTAGTATGACAGAATGGGTGGGCACAGAGCCATTCAATGTATTCACCTTTCAACTGTCTACACATGTGAAATTTTCATGATTAAAAGATACAGAAACTAAGGTAAAAGGGGGAAAGGCTGGGGATTCCGCTCAGTGGTGCTGTTGCCTGCCTCACAAGCGCAAGGTCCTGAGTTCGATCCCCAGTACCTCAAAAAAAAAAGTAAAAGTACAAGGGGGAAATCAACAGCAACACCTGAGAAGATCCAGTTCAAGAGAAAACGAAGGCTTCGAGGTGCGTGATTAGCTCAAGACCATTTATGACCCCAGAATTCAGGGATCCTGACCTTGTATGAGCGAATGGACCAGAGCCTCGGCTGATGAAGCCACTTTCACCAGGTAGATTCCGTCACCTAGTTTGGATCACCATGTTGTCATTCTCCCATAGAGGCTTCAAAACAGTTGTTACCCAGCATGTCTGGAACCTGCTGTTCTCCCATCATCCATTAATTACTTATGTTCTTACTAACAGAGCTAAGGAAGGGTCAATGCATCCTCAAAGAATATTCCTTTCCTTACCTGTTTTCTTGTCTACTGCAAAGATGACAACATTCCAAGAAAGGGTTACTACCTTGACTTTCACGACTGGCACTGTGGGGTCTTTGGGGTTTTGCTTCTTTTAGAGAAACACACTGCCTGTGCTGAAGGACAGTCGACCCAGTGCAATCCCATCCGTTATTCCATCGGATACCGGGAACCAGGGTCATGACGCCAGCGGTGTCGCTGAGCCCAGTTACAAGGTCTCGGGCTTGGAATGACCTTTGCCAGGGTACCACCGCCTCCAGGAACCGACAGCAAGGCAGAGATAAAGAACTGAAACAGGGCCAAGAAGGGGTCTCGGCTTGGCAGTCCGACCTTTGATGCTTCCATAGTGGGAGTAAACTGGTGGCCAATAACGTGATGGCCAGGAAACAGCTGTCCTAGTGCAGTTCCCTGGCTCAGGAAACCTCACAAAATCCCCTTTTCCCTACTAAACTTCAGAGAGGCAGCCCCTCCCTGTAAGCTTAGATTCATGTATTGGCAGCAGACAGAAAGGAAAGTCTCTTTCTTCTTCAGAGGGAAAAGCTGAGGGCAAAGTTGTGTATTTCCAGGAATGAAGGGCTAGAAAAAAATGAGACTTGGTACAAAGATTTAAAAAAAAGTGAGTATGCTAGGGATTTAGCTCAGTAATTCCACCTCCTGTCTCCCAAGTGCAAGGTCCTGAGTTTTGATCCCTGGTACCAAAAAAAAAAAAAAAAAAAGTGAATATAGCTGCTAAATGGGTATTTAGAATGAAAAGATGCTGCAGACCAGGCTCAATCTCCTAAAACCGTTTGCCTAAACCCCAACATGGTTCGGCAAGGCGGCCCAGGAGGGAGGCTACTGCCAGCAGGACTGGGGATCTCATTTTGGGCAGCAGGATTAGAACTCATTTTGTCCTTGGTCCCTTTGCCTCTAGGGTCTTTGTCTCTTACCTGGGTCCAACTTCTGCCGAAACCAGATCTCCAACAGCCAAGGCTATCAGATAGGAGGGGACAGGGTGGCACATCTTGAAGAAGAACTTATTTGGACCTGTCTTCTCCCAGGTGCTTGCGCTCATCACAGCTGTGAAGCCATCGGGGACCTGACAATAAAGAAAGCTTAGGTCTTCCTGGAGAGGCCCCTCTGACCAGCCTGAGGGGCAGCACAACCAGTAACCTGCTCAGGAATGAAAATGGCCCAGAGTCCCCCTTGGAGAACACAAAGTCTTTAAAGTTGTTTTTTAATTGTATTTTATTTTGTTTTGTTTTGATTGATTGGTACTGGGTTAATTGATTGATTGATTGGTAACGGGGATCTAACTCGGGCCCTTGTGCTTGTGAGGCAGGCGTCGGAACCACTGAGCCAAATCCCCGGGCTGTTTTACTTTGTTTGAGACAGGGTCTTGCTCTGTAATCCTGCTCTGTAATTCAGGCTGGTCTCGAACTCGTGGCAATCCTCCATGCCTGGCACAAAAGCTTTAAGAAACTAAACAGAAGGCTATGTAAAATTTCTGGAAGTGGAAGAATTTAGAAGAAAATCTTTTAAAGGTACCACCAGAAGGATATAACATCAATTGAAATAGGACATAATACACTAGAAATTATCTACTTATATATTCATATATAAAATATATACATGATACACACACACACACACACACACACACACACACACATATGTAGTTGTTTTGTTTGGATGGGGCTCAAGTGACTTCCCTGCGTCAGCCTCCCGAGAGACTAGGCCTATAGCGCTAACCCTAGGTGGAACTCCAAGCTCAAGGGCAGGGGCCCCACCCTGAGACTGACCTCCACAAGCGCCGAGTATCTGTACTTCACCGTGGGAGTGTCGAAGCACGGGAAGAAGGCCCGGGTCAGGACAGCTTGGCCCTGGGTGTAGACAAAGGGCTTCTCCTTTCCTGCTGTCTGCTCAGGAGCCAACCAGGTAACCTAAGGGGACAGAAGAGCACTCAGAGCCCAGCCCCACAGGGCCAGTGTAGGTCAGCCAGGGAAAGGAGCTGGCATGGGTCATTTTCAGATGATTCATAAACTCTCCGCCAGCCAGTCTGGCTCGGACTGGAAGGTCCTCTCCCGCTGTGTATTTCTTTACCACCCCGGAATCCAGGCGATGCATGAGGTCTTTCTCCTGGGGCACAGTCACCACAAAGGGTCACCTCAGGACTCCCACACCTGGCCTCCGACACTCTTTTGTCCACCTCTGTGTCCTTCCCACTGTCGTAGTTTCTTGGCAAACATAAACTGAAGCTACTGTGGTAAGATACAGAGAAGCAGAACAAAACTAGGAATCCCTTCCTAGGCTTTTCTTTTTTTGGTTCCAGGGATCGAACTTGGGACCTTGTGCTTGTGAGGCAGCTGGTGGAACCACTGAGCTAAATCCCTGGCCTTAGACTTACTTTTTAGAATAAATACGTCTTATAGGCACTGGCTCTAGGATTCTCTTTTGAGGGGGGGGGTCCTCACTGTTGCCAAGGCGCAGGCCTCACATGGGGGCTCCCATCTCAGCCTGTCAGGGGCTGGTCCTCCAGGTGTCCACCCTGTGCCCAAACCCTCCATGATTCTTAAGTTGTTTTCCACTAACCCTTAAGCCAAGGGAAATCTGAATGATTAATACAAACTTAGTTTTACCCATAGCAAAAGTAGATCACTGCAACACTGATATGGGGGGCAGCAGCAGATACCATTTAGAGATTACAGACTCGATTATCCCAGGAAGGCTTCAAAGTCAAAGCAAAAAACCTCTCCAGTTGGCTCTTCTGAGGTGAGCAGTGTCAGATAAATGAAAAGGAAGGGAAAAGCCTTTTTTTGTTTGTTTTGTTTTTGAGACAGGCTGGCCTTAAATTCACTATGTATCCCAGGCGAGCTCAAACTTGTGGTGATCCTCCAGACTCAGCCTCCCTAGTACCTAAAGGAAAAGCCATTCTTAAGGACAGGACAGGAGCTGCCACCTGAGTAAAGGCCTAAGGGGAAGGCAGGGAAATTCCCAGTCAGCTATGGATGCAGTGGTAGGGGCAGGCCTGGGCAGGTATAATGAAGGGCTTTGAATACAGAAGCATCTGAGACCTATTTAGTTTTGTTTTTTGTAGTACCAGGGATCGAACTCAGGATCCTGTGCTTGTGAGGCAGGCATCACAACCACTGAGCTAAATCCCTGGCTCTTGAGACCTATTTTTAAAGAAGCACAAGGAAGCTACACTGGGATTTTGTTTTGTTTTGTTTTGCTTTGAGACAAGGTCTCACTATGTAGTTCAGGCTGGCCTTGAACTTGCAGTAATCCTCCTGCCTCATCCTCCCTAGTGCTGGGATTACAGGTGTGCACCACCATGCCAAGCAGTTGGGTGGTTCTTTGCTTGAGTTTTTGTTTGTGTGAAAAATTAATCAGTCTCCATCCAACAAAGACAGTACAGTAAAAGGGGGGATGGTAACCTCATAGTAGAGAAAGCGGACAAACACTACTTCAGCGGGTGACAGAGGTCAATACCATCAGTCAGGAATCACTGACAGTGCGCGAGAATGCCTTACATGAGTTTCTGCTCAACACCCCACAAGCCCAGTCTACTTGTGAGCACATCAGACAATTTCTGCTAAGGGGGCATCACACAACAACCCGATCTCCTCCCAATGGTCAGGGTCAGGGCAAACAAGCAAGGGTTGGGGAACTGTTACAGCCCTAAAGAAACCCAAGGAGATGCACCTCCCTAGCATGGTCTCTGGATGGGATGCCAAAGCAGAAAAAGGCATCAGGTAAAAGACTAAGGGAATCTGAAAAGCTACAGGCCACTTCGGTCCTGGCTCATGAGCTGTGAGGGCTGCGTCACACCTTCCGGGGGTGTTAATAGGGAAACCGAAGGGGGTGCCCGGCAACCCTGGATTCCGCTCAATTTTCCTGCTACTTTAAAAAAAATACAATCCATTAATCTCTTTTGGGGGATCAAACTCAGGTCCTTGAGCTTGCAAGACAGGCAGTGGAACCACTGAGGTAAATCCCGAGCCCATAATCCATGAATTTTTAAAAATGATCCGGCAATAGGAACTCACACTCCTCAGAGCACGAGGTCCCAGGTACCGTGTTAGGTACTTAACGATCACTGCTGTCAGTTTTTGTTTTCAATGATGGGACGATGGGGAAGACCTCTGACAGCGCGTGCACTGGTGAAGCCGCGGTAGTGACGGAGAGCCTCGTCAGGGTGGTGGCAGTGTGAGCACAAGGGGCACACGCAGCCTGAGACCGTCACAGCGGGGCAGACTCCTGCCACAGCACCCTGCACGGAAGCTGCTCAACTGTGCTGCTAGATTTGAGGTGCCATGGTTAGCAGGAAAATTTAGGGAAGGTTTAATTTTTCTGTTTAATTTCCAGTTCCTGTCAATAAAGCAGGCACCAGTAACAGAGCCACCCGAGACATTTACAAATGTTTCTTACTGGTCTCAGAGCCTCGTCTGCATCACGTGCTTTAGACCTGGATTTTTAAAACAAGTTCTACTTTCATTTTTCTAACAAGTTCCATCTCAAGATTCAGTTATTCCTCCCATGGCTAAAGATGGAAAAAGAGAACTGCTCTTTGGTCCAGGTTATTAGTGTTTCTGGTTTTGTCAGGCATGGTGTTACATTGTAATCCCAACACTCAGGAGGCTGAGGCAGAAGGACTGCTTCGAGTTCAAGGGGAGCCTGAACTTACAAAGCAAGACCCTGTCTCAAAATAACAGAAATCTGTTGAGCGTGGTGGCACACCCCTGCAATCCTAGCACTTGGGAGGCTGAGGCAAGAGGATCGCAGAGTTTAAGGCCAGCCTGGGCTACATAATCAGTTCAAGTCCAGCCTGCACTACTACAAAGTAAGACTGTCTCAAAAAACAAACAAACAAACCAGAGAGAAGGTCTTGTTAAATTACCCAGGTTATTTTCCAACTCAGGATCTTCCTGCCTCAGCTTCCCAGGGCTGGTATTATAAGTGTGGGCCACTGTTTGGCTCTGTAGGTCAGTTCTGAGAGCAAAAGCAAACTGCTAGGCAGGTAAACCAGTTTTAAACTTTTTGGGTTTTTTGAGGCAGGGTCTTCCTATGTTAAGTTCATGCTGATCTTCAATGATCTATGTAGCCCAGGCTGGCCTGGAACTCATGGTAGTCCTCCTGCCTCAGCCTCCCAGTCCGACAATCCAGTTTCAATGGTTGGCAAACAGTTTACTATGCAACTTGTAACTCTCCCTATCTGAAAAGTACTAGCAGCTCATCTGACTCTTTCAGTTGTAGACCACTATTTCCAGTATTTATCCCTGCTCGGAAAAATTTAAGATTTAAGAGCTGGGTATGGCAGCATGCCTGTAATCCCAGCACTGGAAAGGCTGAGGCAGGAGGGTCACTGTGAGCTGGAGGCCATCTTGGGCTACATAGTCAGCCTGGACTAGATAGTGAGACCCTGGCTCAAAAATGTCAAAAACTCCAAACAAAACACATGATTTTAAAAATCAGCCAACAGTAAGAAGGCCAAGGTATTAGAAAGCCTAGAACACAAATTCCAGTTCCCCACTCTTATTCAAACTCTTTTCATCAAATCCAGGCCTTCCTAAGAGGAAACGAAAACGAGGACCTGGGCCTCAGGGTTGTTTTAGCCTGTGGAACTGGAAGAGCGCACAGAATAAAGGACTGAGTCAGCACCCGGCAGTTAACCAGCACTGCCTAGGGCCGGAGAGCAGAATACAGTCACCGATCGTCTGGACCGTAAGCTCCGAAGTCCCGGCGTGGGACAGTCCCTGATGCAGAACGCCGCCCAGGACCAGCGGTGGGGTGCGAGCCCGGGAAGGCCGGAGGCCGTGGACGAGCTCCTGCAGCGGCCGGGGAGGATGCCCCGTCTGGAGGGAGCGCACGGAGAGCAATACAGTCCCCGATCGTCTGGACCGTAAGCTCCGAAGTCCCGGCGTGGGACAGTCCCTGATGCAGAACGCCGCCCAGGACCAGCGGTGGGGTGCGAGCCCGGGAAGGCCGGAGGCCGTGGACGAGCTCCTGTG